AAAGAAGCCGACCACCAACTAGCCCAAAATGAAATCAAAAACTTAAACCAACAAATCAACCAAGCCAACCAAAAAGAAATTGAACTGAATAAAATCCTAACCCAAACTAACCTCAAACTTACCCACACCGAAGCCGAATTAAAGCAAACCCAAACTAAATTCACCCAAAGCCAAGAAAAAGCCCAAAGAGGCAACCAACAAAAACAAGAAACCATTAACACTCTCCGAGCCGAAAAGCAAGCAAGTCAAACCCAAATCAGCCAACTCACCCAAGAACTAACTACTAAAACCCAAACTATTGCTGACCAGTTAAGCCAAATTAACGAGAAAGACAGCCAACTAGCCCAGCAAAAAGCAGTCTTAGAACAATTACTAACCAACCGAGAACAAAGACTAAGCCAATTAGGAGGAGAAGAATAATGACACATCCTAATATTATCAACAAAGCCCAAGCCATAATAGCACTAAAAGCTATCTTAGGAGAAAATTACATTACCAATTGAGACCAGCCTGATTTGCTTAGCCTCCTTACTAAAATTGCTAATGATTTAGTTCATTTCAAAACTGATAGCCAAGCTTACCAGGAACAAAGTAAAACATCGGAAAAGGAAATCCAAGCTAATAAAGAATGACTCCGAATCACCCAGCAAGAACTTGAATTAGAACAAACCAAAGTTCAATCCCAAATTCAAGCCAACCAAGCCAAAGACGAAACCATCAGCCAACTCCAAACTAATCACACCCAAGCCCTCCAAGCCAAACAAAGGGAAATCCAGCAAATTAAATTAAACCTCACCCAAAAAACTAACGAACTCACCCAAGCCCAAACCCTCCACCAAAACCATTTAACCCAAGAAAAAGCCCAAATCCAACAAGAAATCCAACTAATTAAGGAGGTAATCCAATAATGAATAACCCAACCCAAAAAGACTTGTGAAAAGCCAATATCCTGGAATTCTTTCACAATTACTTTATCGGCATTTCTTATTTAGAGTGCCCCAACCCTGATTGCCCTCTCGTGCTCCACTGGGGCAGCCTCGAAAGCAAAAACAGCAAAAAAGGCTATTCTGCTCTCGTAAAAGTCACCAAAGATAAATTCCTCACGGTCAATATCCTCAGCTACGAACTCAACGGTTTAGAAGAACCCACCAACCTTACTATCCAATACCGGGACGGCAAGCAAGCCCTCGTCCGAACCAAAGAACAAATCACCGAACTCACCAAAAACCTCACCCCCGAAGAAAAAGCCCACTTATCCTTCCTTGACCCCTCGGAAGTAGTTTGCTTTTTTAACAACCCGACCCACCGACCTAACCTGGAAGGAGCCGAAACAATCTACCTCAATGACCTTTGAGAAATCAAAGAAGACATTAAATGAGACCGGAACAAAAGCCGCAAAAAGGTCTTTCTCCGTTGTGAGAATGACCCCTCCGAGGATACCCAAGCCAAAAAGATTGACGGAGCCAACCAAGATTACTTATTCTGAATACCGGACCCTTCCACCACCAACGAAATCAAAGATATGGAAGTTTACAGCCCCGAAAGAGACGAAAGAAAACAGCTCCACGAAGACTACACCAAAGATTTCTCCGAGCTCCGACGAGTGTTCGGCATTCGCCACCTCACCAGCAAAAAAGAAGACCGGCAAAATAATCCCGAAATCGAACTCAACGAAGCCCAATTTGTGGCCTTAGAAAGAGAAAAATGACGCGAAAGAATGAAAAGCTTAAAAGAAGCCGAAGACAAAGCTTTTTGCCCCCACCAACATAAACTCACTTACGGAGCCTGACAAGAGAGACAGGAAGCCGAGATTGAGCAAGTGAAGGAAATTCAAGCCCAAGAGCCCGACAAAGTTAGGGAACTAGAAGCCCAGTGAGCCCAAGAAAAGGAGGGAGGTAAATAATGAATATCGGTTGCTGTCATGTAGCATTAGCCTTGGTTATCATTATTCTGCCCTTAGTGGCTCTGCTTACTAACCGAACCCTTAAAGCCGAAGCCCGAGTAACCAAACTAGAAAAGAAAAATGGTCGAGAGCAAAAGCAAATCAACGAACTTAAACTAGAAGTAGCCGAATTGAAAAACCGAGGAGGGAAACATGAATAATTTTTGACAAATAATTCCAAACAAACCACAGCAGGAAATTAAACAGTTGCTAATCCAAAAGTTAGGTAGTCCAGCCGAAACAGACAAAAAGTCTAATTATTGATTAAATGAAATCAGCAAAAGGCTATATTACAGTTTCCGAGATAATCCTGAAAAAAATATCAGCACTTATCACCGAATGCAAGCAAAAGTAGTTGAAGTAAAAGACGAAAAGCAAAGAAAAGGCATTAATGCCGGAGAAACTTATTATGTTGTAATTACCGACACAGGACAAAGGTTTTCCGTGAAGAAAGATTTTATTCAGCAGGAAACAATTTGAAAAGAAGTAAAAGAAGCCAGTTGTATTAACAAAACTTATCTGATTAGATATTTTAAATGGATGAAAGAATGAAAAATTGTCGACTGAAAGGAGGTAAGCTATGAATAACTGAATTAATCAAAGCAATTTAAAAGAAATCAAAGAAATTCACACCAGGACAGAACTTTGAAAAGACAAGATTTATTATATTCCTCATAGTCCTTATAAATTTCCTAAAAATGACGGCAGTGGAGATTTTTTGCCTCTGGCAAGGAGGTTTCAAGATATAATCACCGAATTTAAGCAATTTATCGAAGAACAAAAAGCCGAAGAAACCCCCGAAGAGGAAAGGCAAGCAGCCCAGGAGAGAATAGGAGAAATTGTTAAAGACCTTAAAGAAATAATTCAGCAAGAAATTACCAACGAAGAAGAAACACCAGCCATAATTGAATTTGAACCAGGAACCGAGGAGGAAGAAAATGAAACTGACCAAGAATGAGTTAAAGAACAAATCAAAGAAAAACAAGAAAGAATAAAAAACTTGAAATTAGGTTTAAAAAAGCAAACGATTAGCCAGTTTCGGAGATTTAACCAAGAACATTTAGAGAATGGAGAAATCGAGAACTTATTAAATGAATGAGAAAAAGAAAAGAAAATAGTTAACGATCGGAAGAATATTTGTTTTATTGTATCGGATACTCAGGATAGTTTTCAGTTTTGTTATCAACCACCCAAGGGAAATTTTCCAGCTTTAAGTGATTTTTTATGATATCGGAATAATATTTGGTATGAAACTACTAACTGAATAAGACTTAATCATGAAAATGCTTTGATTTTTGCTAAGAGAAGTTATTTTATTCATAAGTATTTGAGGTTTATTTTAGGGGGAGGGAATGGAGTTATTCACAGCTCTCCTAAATTTGGAAACAAAGATGAAGTTTGCCAGTGTCCTGCTTTTTTGGAAAGTACCGAATATGCCGAATTTACTGCCGATTGACAACCCGAATATAAATTATTTAAGTTAAAGAACTTTATGGGAGGAACTTGACAAACAGCATTAACTAATCAACCTTACGGACAAACAAAACATTATCCTGTTTTTCACACTCTTGATTTAGAGGAAGTTAATGGCATACAAGCCCAAGGTTATACTCCTACTACTTATTTTCTTTTACCTGAATGATATGAAAATGGGAGCATGACTGATTGCAAAACATTTCCCATCAAGTTTAAAAGCTCAAATTCTGATTTAGACCAGTGAATAAAAAATGCCAAAATGGAAAGAATGAACCAACAAGGAGAAGGAGGAAAATACGAGCATTTATTAAAGCATGTTAATGTTAATTATTTTTGAAATAGTAAGAAAATTCATGAAAGCACCTTGGATAAAATGGATTGAAATAATTTTAAGGTGATAGTTCGAGCCAATCCAGCTGGTGCTATGTATCTCTTTCAAAGCAAAAAGGTTTTGTTTAGGTATAGTGAAGATTTAAACTTTTCTTTGGAAGCTGATAGAATGATGGGACTGGCAGCCAAAATGGGAACTAAACTTGTTGATGGGTTTGTGAAAGCCATTTCGCTTGGAACCATTGATCCTAATACCTCAGGAATAGCCGATGACCTAAAAAACACGACTAATAAATACTTACATAACAAAGGAAAAGAAAAAAGTAAAGACCAGCGACAAAGTGAAAGAAAAAAATCTTTGGCAGCAGGTAATAGTCGAATTGCCCAAACTACTCTTGGTTCAATTTCTTCAATATTAGATGCTTCTCATACTCATGGCAATTATTCTTTAGGAGAGATTGCTTTAAGGTTTGATAGTATTAACTTTTGAATTAGGTTAGAATTCAACAAAAATCTATGTCATCGTTATCAAGAAACTAAAAGCATGCTTAAAAAAAGTGGTAATCAGATATTTAATACTCGAAAGTTCGGCAATATTTTAAGCAAAGGTTATTATAAGATAATTCCCCATATTTTTGAAAAAGATGAAGAAGGTTATTTTGCTCGGATATTTAGCCAAGGAGTTTATATTTATGAAGGACATCCTCGTGAATGTTTTTTAGAAGAGGGAGAAAGAGGAGAATTCGAACGGGGAATATTAAATAGAGATCCAGTTATGGTTAATACTACTATTCAAGAAAACTATTCTTCGTCTATTGGAAGAGATGATCTAGTTCATGTTGACGATATGAGTTGAGTGTGAAAGGATAGTTATTGCCGACCGGCAGGAGGAGGAACTGATTTATTTCCTCAATTAATTAACGGAATGAGGCATAACATTAAAAGAGATGATAGCAATGCTTGAAAGTTTGACGGTTATAGCCAAGGACAGAGTGAAGCCACCTTAACAAGAGGAGTTCAGTATGAGTGGTTTATGCATGCTTTTAGTTCCGGTCAACAGGATAGCCGAGCCTTTCGCGGATTAGACGACGGAGTAAAAGTTATTTTAAAACAAGATGGAGCTGATTGGGAGTTAGCTTTTATTGGGAGAGTGGAGATTACTGAAACTATTGGCAACCCTGATAATATTGGTTCAGGAGTAGAGATTGATGACCCCGAAGAAGTATTGCCCGAGTTAGAAGACGAGGCTCAAACCGAAGGACTAGAAGAAGCTGAACAAAATATGGAACCCGAAGCCGAACAGCAAAACCAAAATGATAAAGAACTCCAAGAAGAACTAGAACAGCAAGCCGAACCCGAACAACAAAAAGAGGATGAGCAGCAAGAAGAACTAGAGCAGGAAGACGAACAACATAAAGAAAAACACAAAGAGAAAAAGAAAGAAAAACAGAAACAAGAAGAAAAGCAAGACGAACAACAACAACAACAAGACCCAGAATATTCAGGAGAACAAGAAAAGTAAAAATAATAAATATGGTTAATTTAGAAAAATGAGAAAAAGGCACTTATTATAGTTGCCAACATCAACAAAAAAGTAAGAATAGTTGTGATGCTTGTGAACAGCAGAGAGAGAGAGAGAGAGAGAGAGAGAGAGAGAGAGAGAGAGAGAGAGAGAGAGAGAGAGCAACTCAATTAACATTAAACCAGGCTTAGGCAACAACATTCTCTCTAGCGGTTGTGAGATTTGTCATGCTGCACTTTTTGAAATGGCAAGTTCGTCGTGAGCTGATGATAAAGAAAAAAAGTATACAATTCATTTAGATTGCTACCGAGATAGCCAAAGGTCAGAAAAAACCTGCCGTGAAACATTTATTTGCTCCAATTGTAGAGATAAATACGAAAAACTAGCTCTTTGTCCTTGATGCCAAAGAGACAAAGAAAATTTTGATAATCCTTGCTGTCAGCAATGCCGTTACGGTAAAACTCCCCAAGAAATAGCTATAAAATGGCAAGAGTATGAACAATCAGTAATGAGCGGAAAAAGTTCAAATATTAACGAGCAAAACACCAATCAAAGCAATTCTGATAGTAGCCAATCTAAATCAGAAAATTTACCTAATCAAACTAAAAACAATCCCTCTTCAAACAAGCCCAACACAGCCCTCTATATCGGTCTAGCCATAGCAGGAGTAGCATTAATCGGAATAATTGCTTACTTCCTCACTAGAAAAAAAGAATAAACAATTCTTCACCACTAAATATAAAGCTACACCAAAATAAGCCACTGAAAGAACTAACCAAATTCAACCTACAACACTTCACCTTTGCTCGGCTTTAATCACAAAAAAATAGTTAAAAAAAGCATAAAGGCAAGGAGCTAATAAGTAAAACTTGGTGATTAAGTTTTTGATTAACTCAAAGGTTTTCATGGTTTAGTTTTTGCTCTCTCTCTCTCTCTCTCTCTCTCTCTCTCTGTTTATGAAAGCAGTTTTACATAACCTTGGCTAATAGTTTTTCACCCTTTACCCTTTATTGCTTTCTAGTTTACGAATTTTTTCTTCTAACTTTTTAATTTCTTTGTTTGATTCATTTATTCTCTCAAAATGAAACTCAGCAACTCAAACAAATTGTTCGAGACTCTCCTCTAGGCGTTTAGGCAAACTAACATTTAAGGCAGACAAATTAGGATTGCCTTGGGTGGTTAAGTCATTTTCTCGCAGTTCTGTTAAGTAAATTTTTATTTTTCCTAAGCGAGATCTTAAACCTCCTGAATTTGGGATTGGTCTAAGGAATATAGCCATTATTCTTCTTTCGTTTGGGATTATTCTCTCTTTCGTAGTTTTTCATTTTCTTTTTCCAAATTTTCGTAATTATCCAATTGTTTTTGTTCTTTTTCGGTCAAAGTTGGCTTAGGTGGGTTTTCTCAAGCATTTAGATAGCTTTTCAAAGTAAAAAGCA